CTGAGACTAAAATTACGCATTAACAATTGTCCATAATCAAAAGAATTAGACTACTTTCTCTTAAAGGCAGTGAACTAGTACAGTACCATTGAAGAGTTGTTGTTGTTGTTATTAAGTGCCATTGTGTCAATTCTGACTCATAGGATCCTGTATACGATTTCCAAGGTGCAGTTGTTGGGTTTGAACCCTGCAGTTGAGCAGAAGACTCTCTTAAATGGATCTGATTTCTAATGGATTCCAAAGCTAGCCATGTAAATGAGTCATGTAATTTTATATGCACTATGAAGTCCTGGTGTGACACTATAGGATAAGCACTGAACTGCTAACTACAAGGTCAGTGGTTCAAACTCACTAGCCACTCCTTGGAAACCCTACACAGGGTCACGGTCACTGTGAATCAGAACCAACACTACAACACTTAGCAACAGCAACTTAAATACTAGGTATAAAATTCACTCATCTTTCCTATTATAACAAGGAGCCTCCATGGTATTGTGTGTAAGCACTTGGTTGCAAATCAAAAGATTGGCAGTTCAAGCCCACCAGCTACTCCATAGGAAAAAGATGTGGCAGTCTGCTTCCTTAAAGATTTACAACCTCAGAAGCCCTGTAAGACAGCTCTACTTTGCCCTTTAGGGTGCTATGAATGAGAATCTACTCAAGGTCATGGGGTATCATAAGAAGAGAAAAATCTGTCTATTTATGAGATGCTGATATTTAAATTGAGTCCTGGTGCATAGTCATTAAAGCACTCTGATGCTAACTAAAAAGTTGATGGCTCAAACTCACCAGTCACTCCACAGAAGAAAGATGTGGCAGCCTGCTTTGGTTTCTACTTCCTACCAAGTTGGCATCTAACTTGGTCCTCTCAGCTGTGGTCTCCTCAGAGATGGCTCTCATTGCCATGTCCATGCTGTTCTTGGTCACATGTAGATAACATTCTGCTGCCTTCTCAGACAGTGCTAGTGCTTATTAGATTTGAAAGACTTTCAGTCCCACTGACCTATACATATCATGCAGAAACGTCTGCTCTATTGCTGACTCGTAGTGCACAGAGTATATAAACTTCCCAACGTGACCTTTAGTCTCCCTAGCCCTCCCCTCTGAGCCCAGAATCCCAATTTAACAGAGGTTACTGTTTCTACCACGCCAGAACTTGGGGGTAGACTGGGGCAAAAGGGTCTTGTCAGAGATGTCCCTCAGTGTGTAACAGTCTTGTGTTTTTTGATTTTTCTCTTTCCTGTCCTCAACTGGAAAATCTTGATAAATCCTCACATAGAAAACTCTCTTTTACATTGTTATCATTATTATAAATCTCTTCTTTCTGGTATAAATTTTATGATTTGATTCCATTATGACCTTGGTTCTTGAGACTCAGAATTGACTTTTAATGTTTAAAAGTCAGGTTTTGTTGTTGTTCAGTGCCATAGTGTATAAGGTCTCCAAGGAGTGGCGCGTGAGTTAGAACCGCTGACATTGTAGCTCAAACCTTGCAGTCCAATGCTTTACCCCACAGTGCCGCATACTTTCCTCTCAAACTATTGCCCACACCACAACCCACACCACAATAAACAAATTTATAATACAAGGAAAAGTTTGTTGTGAAAATCAAAAGTCTTAAGCAGAGCTATCTGTACATAAATAGGAATAGTGTATAAGAAAAACAAAACAAAACAAAACACAGGTTGACATATTTTGATCATTTTTAATTAAAACTTCCATTTAATTAATGCAAAAATTCCTGGTGGCACTGTAGGGTAAGCACTGAATTGCTAACTGTAAGGCCGGTTGTTCAAACTCACCAATCACTCCAAGAAAGAAAACTGAGGTTTTCTGCTCCTGTAAAGATTTACAGCCTCAGAAATTCTATAGAGGATCTCTGTGAGTCAGAATTGACTTGATGACAGTGGTTTTGGTTTTGGGATAATACTGCCCAAAGAAGCAGCAGTCAAGAAATCACTGATCAAATCTACTGAAAAAGGCAATTGTTTGGACAGAACATGGGAATATTGAATGCTTTCCATTCAGGAGAGGTTTGTACCATTATACTTTTTCAGACTCTATGATGAGCAAATAATTCAAGAAGCTGAATTATATGAAGAACATGGTATCAGGATTGGAGGAAGACTCATTAACAACCTGCAATATGTAGATGACACAACTTTGCTTACTAGCCTTGAAAAGGACTTGAAGTACTTATTGATGGAGATCAAAGTCCACAGCCTTCAGTAAGGAGTGCATCTCAATGTAAAGAAAATATAAAATTTCTGAATTCACTATTGGACCAATAACATCATGATACACTGAGAAAATATTAAAGTTGTTAAAGATTTCATTTTACTTGTGTCCATAATCATTGCTCATAGAAATAGCAGTGAAGAAATCAAACAACATTTTATTAGGCAAATCTGCTGCAAAAGACCTCTTTAAAAAATTGCTAAAGAGCAAAGATGTAACTTTAAAGAGAAAGATGTTGTTGTTCAGTGCCTTCAATTCAGCTCTGACCCATAGCGTTTCTAAGGAGCAGCTGGTGAGCTTGAACCACTGACCTTGCATTTCAAACGGCTTTATGCCTCCCTAAAGCTGTGGTATTTTCATTCACCTCATATGCATGTGAATGTTTGACAATGAATAAGATAAGAAAGACTGAAAAATAATCAGTGGATTATTATTATTCTCTAACCCCAGTGAATACCCTATAATTAGTAGTCCAGTGCTTATCTCACAGTGCCATATATCCTGGTGTGGCACTATAGGATAAGCACTGGACTGCTAACCACAGGGTCGGTAGTTCAAACTGCCCAACTGCTCTTTAGAATCCCTATCCAAGGTTACTGTGAGTTAGAACCAACTGGATGACACTTAACAACAGGAACATATATATTTAACATCATCAACAATGTAATATCATATATGTAGTTGTCAACAGGGTTTCCAAGGAGCGCCTGGTGAGTTTGAACTGCCAGCCTTGAAGTCTAGCATATATATATATATATATATATATGTTGTTGTTGTGTGCCGTGGAGTCGGTTCCAACTCATAGCGACCCTGCACAGGGTTTCCAAGGCTGTTAATCTTTACAAGAGCAGAATGCCTCACCTTTCTCCCACGGAGCAGCTGGTAGTTTCAAACTACTGACCTTGCGGTTCGCAGCCCGATTCGTAACCACTATGCGACCAGAGAGCCTATATATATATATATAGAGAGAGAGAGAGAGAGAGAGAGAGTGAGAGAGTCCTTTATAGGATCAGCACTTTAGCACTGAATTGGACTGTTAACCAAAAGGTTGGTGGTTGAAACCCATACAGGGTTTCAATGAATCAGAACTGATTCAACAACATATAACAACAGCAATTAGAGAGAGAGAGAGAGGAAGAGATTTCAAGGAAATAGGTCATGCAATTGTGGGGACTGGCAAGTCCCAAATCTGTAGGTCAGTCTAAAGACTAAAGATTTCTCCTGTGTCACCTGGTTGCAGGGGCTGATGAACCCAACACTGGTATGTCAGACAGTAGGCTTCCGACTCATATGCCAAGAATGGGAGGTCAGAGGATGATGACTTTGATGCAGGATCGAAAGAGAGAATGAGCTTAGCCTTAACATCCATATATATTTGATGCAGACCACAACCTCAAGGAAAAAGATTGGCTTTTTAGTTGACACATAACTTTTACATTCACCCTTAGAAAGACTTTGTTTTAGTAAATTTTTAAGAAAAGTGAAAGTTGGAGGTAGAACCCTTGATCCGTATGTTGTTCTTAAGTGTCATCAAGTCTATTCTGACTCACAGTGACCTCTGAGGAGCAGCTCGGGAATTTGAACCGCCGACCCTGTGGTTCACAGTCCAGTGCTGCTCTTACAGCGCCACACCAGGAGCCTTTGATCCATGTGTTGTTGTTAAGTGCCTAAGTGCCCTTGCATCAATGTCAACTCATAGTGACCTGTGTTGAAATCACCAACCTTGTGGTCCAGTGCATTAATCCTGCAACGCCACACCAGGACTCAGGTTACCAAATGCTGCTAACACAGTTGGATTTTTATCTGTTGCAAAAAAATGCCCTTTTTATTGTGACTACATATATTAATTCTTAAAATATTGATGATCATTTTCAGAAAGTATAGCATCTGAAATTATTTCTATTTTTAATTGGATCTTACACACAAATTGTCTTTGATCTGAATGACTTAAACTAACCATGTTGATGGAATGATTCTGTTTTTGAGAATTTTTTGTGATTCTTGAGAAACATTCCTTCAGTAACAATATATTTCTTTTTCTTATTTGTGAACTAGGTCATTCTTTTCCATATTTTTCTTCTGAAAATAATTTTAGGATATCATCAGCACAATGGTATGATGTGCAAGGGCAAAGTTCCTAACTAACAACCCAGGCAGGCCAGTTACTGCTGAATCCATTATGATAGAAAACATTTCATACATGGAAAAACAAACAGTTCTGTGGGGAACGATATCTTTTCCTTGATTCATAAGTATGTGCTCTGTGCATCCAAAGAATAATATTGTAGGTAGGCCATTGTTTCATCTCCCAGAAGTACCTCGTGAGCAGAATCTTTGCTCTGCATTCCAGTCTGTGGCATAGTCCCTGATACAATAGACTCAATAAATGTTTCTTGAATTAAGTATTTAGCCAATTCTGGAGGGATACCAATGTCCTGCCTGGAAGTGTGAATGTTTATTAAATAATATATCCTTTCAGAACAATTGTCGGGGTCTGACCTCGACATAGTTGTCATACACGGTCTGCAACAAACAATGATTTCTTAAACCATATAATTTTGAACTAGACTGAAATGCATAGATTATCTGGTCTAATTCTCTCATTGTAACAAGAAGAGACTTTCAGAAAAGTTAAATGGCGATCCCAATGACACACAACAAATTCGCAGAATTTGCAGTAGCATCCATATCTCAGAGTGTTTATCTCTGCCTCTAGTTCATGCTTTTAACAATCAGCTGACAAGTGTACTTCACACTTCTAGGGTCCTAAGGGGAAAAATGGAGCACCTGGTCCATCTGGGAAACCTGGGATTCCTGTAAGTAATCAGCCTTTTTCATCATCCTTGTTTTTCTAATACAATAGGCAACTTGAACAAGCAAAAAGAAAATGTTGGAGCCAATTATGATAAGTGTGTGTAAATCAGATTACAGTAAAAAAATTAAACTCTTGCTTAAACAAGGAACAAAATATGACTATTTTGCCCAAAATCAAGCTTGCTGTTTTCAGAAGCAAGCCCCTACAATCAAAGGATGTTCCTTTCCTTTGTTGTGTGGTCCTCTACCGCTGATGACGAACCACTGAGAAATGGAGAACTTGGAATCACAACAAATACATGGTGATATAGGTCAGAGGTCGTCAAGCAATAGTTAAAAAGTCATGCTCTATATTTTAATTGGAGGATTCAACCTCTCATTCTTCTGACAGATAGAACAAATGGTCTTAGAAAAATTAAAAATTATCTTCCCATCACAGAACAAAGATTAATTTTGCATTAGTCATCAGTAACCTATTCTAGCCAGGAAGGTGTGTGTTGACAGACTTGTTAGCAAAGACTTCCTGCTCGTCTCCTTTAGCCAGAAATTAGACGCATGCTTTGGGTGGCCTGTGCTGGCTCAAAAGTGTATAGAAAATAATCATAAATTATAAGCACATTCAGATCAGATTATACTACAGATAAAATCCAATTGCCCAAGAATGGAAACAAAATGTTAAGTCCTTTTCTCCATCATATAATTATCTGATTCAGAGTTACAGTAAAAAGACCATGATTTATTTCTTGGGGAAATTATATCTATATGAAGTAAATGAATGGCAGCCTGTACCCTAAGCTGATAGGTACATAAAGCTGTTTGTTATTTTCTCCATAGCTGGGCAAAACATGGGCTGGTATAGTGAGAAATGCCAGGGAATTACACTAAAGCTAAAAAGGTGATACACAGTAAATTGCTGTAAATTGGCTTGGCATTTTTGTTTAGGGAACTTTTGAAAACTCTTAGAAAGACCTGCACTTTTGAATCCAAATAGTAAATCATTATGTAGGAACCTAGGAAACAGAGGAAAACTTGCCCTGGGACACGATATTAAAAAGATCTATACTTTTCTTCTAAAAACAATGATTTGTTATTTAAATAACTATCAGCATCTATTTATAATTCAAGTACCTTTTAATTTTCAAGGGACTTCCAGGCCTTTCTGGGCCAAAAGGGATGCAAGGGTACCTTGGAGCAGATGGCATCTCAGGAATCCCTGGAAAAGGTGGGCTGCCAGGAAAACAAGGACTTACCGTGAGTAGTTTAAATAGCTCTTTGCTCTTCATTTCTTATGTCAAGTGTGTCCTTGCTAGAACATAAATATTTGGGTGGTTTTTTTTGTTTAGCTTTTGTAATGATTCATCTTAAACCAATCATTTCTTTAATAGCTATTTTGGAATTGTATTTATGATTATGTCAAATGGACTTCCAGAGAATATCAATAAGGACATTCGTATGACTATTTTATATTATTACTCATACAGTGGGTCTCACTAAGGGTTCTCTTTAAAAAACAGAACTAATGAGGTATATAT